CGAATGGGCTCGACTCGAGTTCTTAACGAGCACTTCATACTCGACTCGAAATACTTGCGAGCTACTCGAAAAAATAATATATTAAAATTTTATTTAAAAAAATTAAATTATTAATAATATTAACATTTATTTTTTTGATTTTTTTTAAAATATAGCATAAATGTATTTAAGATTCAGGTTCGAGTTTGAGTTTGAGATTTAATTGGGTTAAGTTTAAGATTTTTTTTACTTCGAACTTTTTTGAGCTTCAATTTATGGTTTCAAGTTTAAGTCGAGCTTGAAAATTTTAGGCTCGCGAATTTTCGAGGCTAGTCGAGCTCAACAATACTCGAACTCGACTCAGCTCAACAATACTCGAGTCGAGCCCTACACTTGAGTTTTACATTTTTTTTATATTTCTCTCTAATTCTTAGCGTGCTTATCAAGGAAGGTTGGTTTTTGGAGCAAGAAGAAAGCTAAAAAATGAATTGTTTTTTCTTTCTAAATTCATTTAAAAGGATAAACTAAGGCCACTTAGTGTTTTTCATCTTTTGCATCATTTCCTTCATTTATCAAATTTCATTAAAACTAAAATTAAATATGTTATTTATCAATTTCCATTTGCTGCATTAACCATTTGACACCTAATATTTATGATTATATAATTTTCCATTAACATTTAGCTTAGAGAAATTTGACATATACAGATATAATATTTACAAGTCTTTCAAGTTAGTCCTTTTCTTTATTGTCTTATAATTTCCATTTAGTTCATTCATCCATTCATTTAATAGCTAATTGTTTATTGAATTACTCATTAATGAAATCCTATATTATCAACTGTAAAGCTGAAAGGTAATAAAAAAAATTATATTCAGAGCTGATCTCGTCATTTTCTATGTATTTTCTTTAATTCTCTTCGCTTTTTGTTTGTTGTGTCGGGTGTGTGTACTCTATTCCTCTGTTTAAATTCAAGAGGATTTTTAACGAGGATCACATTCGGAGATTAATTCTTATTAATGTATATTTTTTCTTGCCAAGCGAATATACATATATATATTATAAAAAAATATTGTCTAACACCACTTTGTAGCAGTAGGTAGGTAAGATCCGAGTATATAAATATAAAATCACTACAACAAAATTGTTTTTAGTGGAGTTTTGAGAGTAAATATCACTCATTTTAAATATATAGCGGCATTTACATTCTAAACGCCACAAAATGGTAACGTTAGTGGCGTTTCTTCGACAAACGTCACAACAGAGTAGTACTTTAACGGTGTTTTTATACAAACGCCGTAATAGATCCATATATAGTGGCGTTTTTTCGACAAATGCCGTAACAGAATAATACTTTAGCGTCATTTATATATAAACACCACAAAGGGTTCACTTATAGTGGCATTTTTTAATAAATGTGCAATAGATTAAATTTTAGCGGTATTTTTATACAAACGCCGTAATAAATTCACCTATTGTGATATTTTTTCTCACAAACACTACAACAATATAGTACTTTAGCGACGTTTTTATACACATATAATAATAAGTTTCATCTGTTGCGGCGTTCCCGGGTTTTAATAGTTTTGGTTCTAATTTGAAAGCAGTCGCCCAATTTTTCATAAAACCCTAACGACTCAGTTCATATTTGAACACTCCCTTTCTGTCTCTTCTCTTCTCGGTCTCTTTGATTAAAGTAAGTTCGTCATGTTGCATTTTCAGTAATTCGATCTTTTAATTTCCCCTATCACCATAATTTTTCATGGTAGCTATCTCCGGTTGTGCTCATGTTTTATGCTTTCTCTTCAATTTTGTGTTTGTGGCTGCTGACTGAAATTAAGGTTTATATTTGATATGATTTTTTCTGGTTTTCATTTGTGAGTTTAGTGAACTTACGCTTGTTAGATCAATTGAATTCATTTATTTTTTTGAACTTTTTTTAAAATTCTGTTTAGATCAATAGTTTGGTATGTTTTTTGAACTTATATGCTTCGATTTTGTATTCATTGAGCTCAGCTGCTAGCTACACGATCGTTAAATTATCCAGCAAACCCATCGTTGTTAATCATCTGTTACGTAAGAGGCAAGTTGGGTTCTAAAAATGAGCTTTCTTTCTATGTGTTTGAGGAAATGTTACAGCGAATTTCTAATAGAGAAGTGCTTTGGGGTTTTTTTTAAGATGTTTATTGTTTTTGGAGTGTGTAGAGTTTGAATTGTGAGGTGTGCAACTATTGAAGAAATCAAAGCTGAGAAATCTTCCATTGAGAACGAGGCTGTGAGTTTCTTTTCTATAAATTTAACTTTGGGAAGGAAACCATTTTGTTGTTGTTTTTAGCATAGAAGTGAGGAATTGAAATCTTAAAATGTCATGTTACTTGTGTATCAACTGACGTTATTAATTTGTTCTAAAGGTAAAATATTATCCTTTTATCTAATGAGATTAACTGTGTGCAATTTTAGGTGGAATACTATGGAACCCTGTCAGCTTAAAGAGTATCGCTCAAATAAGTACACCTGATTCAAGTTCTCTATTGGTTCATCCATATGACAAATCGAGGTATGATATAAACCAGAGTTGATAAGCATTAGTTCATATTTTATGCTTGTATGGTTCATCTTCTGCAATGTATTTGACACACATTTACTTTCATAATATGTTCTTTCGAAAATGTATAATAAATGAAGGGCAATACATTGTATCTATATCCATATGTTGACAATCTCTACTTAGATAAAGTTGTTGAATTTAGCTCGTGGTATTGAAAACCGCCATCCAGTATCTTCAGGAGTGCTCCATGAAGGCACCTCTTTGCTTTCTATTAGTGGCTTGTTCTCTGTTTTGACATTTAAAACTTTTTCAGCTTAAAGGCTATAGAAAAAGCTATAGTCAACTCTGATCTTGGTATGACTCCAAACAACAATGGTAAAGTCATTCGCATGTCTCTCCCTCAACTGACCACCGAAAGAAGAAATGTATATTCTCATGAATTTTCAGCATATGGTGGGGGGAATTTCTTACAACATCCTCTGATATAAAGTTATTTATTTTAGACGCATGCTATATTCAGTAAAATTTTCCTTCTGGAACTCATCTTTTCCTATTGTTTTCATGAAAACATTTCACTTGTTCAATCATTATATATATATTTGAACTCTCATGCCTTCGAATTATAATCCAGTGACTTACCATGTGAGCACTATATATTTGCTTTGAAATAACTTATTATTTATTTTTCTGTTTTACCCGTGGTTATGCATTATTACAATTTGCAAGGGAAATACTATTCATTTTAAACTATAGCAGTGAAAATGAGATCAAAGCCTACAACCTTGTTTATGTAATCATGAACAAAGTTGATGAGTATGTTGTGCTTAGTTCTCCTATTTTCACAGAGGATACATGGCACCAGAATATGCATTATGGGGTTATCTCGCCTACAAGGCATATGGTTATAACTTAGGGATTGTTGCATTAGAAATTGTTGCTGGAAAGAAAAATGCAAAATATCGACCTGAAGATGATTATATGCCTTCAAGATCGGGTAAGATACAATTCAAGTTATAATTTGGTAATTCAAGACAGAATTCAATACATGGTTTAGGCACTAAGTAGGTGTATGCGCAAATTTATACTCTTAGTGTCCATGGATCTTTTACATATTATTAAGTTTTTTGTTTCCTTTCATGCAGCTTTAATTCTACAACACTTTTTGTGAAGTTAATTCCCCTTTGAAAAACCATATTCCTACTGTATTGGCTAGTGGGATTTTGCACTTGGAAAATGGATCTTACAAAATTGATTCTTAGGATGGTAAAGAAGTTCTTGATGTGCTTGCAAAGTGCAATTTGATTCTTGGGTGTACGTAGCAAGACGTTGGGAAAGATTGCCATTGGATATTAGAGTTATAAGTGGGAAGCGTGAAAATACACATGCAACTAGTTTGCATTTTTGTTTCAAGTATATGTTACACATACATTTACATTTGTATGTATTTTTGTTATATTAATGTTTTCCACCCTTTTTAGTTTCAAGTGACTTGTTTTTATTTAATATCTAGAATATATGCTTTGATTTGTAGAATTGATTATTACTGTGGGTGTAAAGAATGTCTTTAATGGTGTTGTATGCAATTCATACAGCTACTCCTAATAGTGTCATTTACAGTATTTGGGGATGAAAATGCCACTAATAATGGGCTTATTTGTGGCGTTTGTAAAGACAAACACCGCTAAATACACAGTCAATAGCGGCGTTTGTGTTATATGTCGAGACCTATTGCGGCATTTTTTTTTCACAAGCACCGCTAACAATTGTGGTGTTTGTTATAGTAGCACTTCTTGCGGCGTTTTTGCAAGTGCCGGTAAAGTTTTTAGCGGCACTTATAAACGCCACTATAGGGTTAAAAAAACATCACTACAGAATCATTTTGCTGTAGTGAATAAAATATTATTCTATTAAGCAGACAATAATAGAAACAGGAACACCAAAGAATTGAGTTCATATTGAAAAAGAGATGTTTTAATGTATAAGAATTCAAGTAATGAAGAAAATAATAAATAACAAAACATTGCTCTTTAGCCATTTGTTTCCAGTTTAGAGCTCAATTATCATATCAGGAATGCAGGGAATTCCAGTTTTCGGAATCCAGGTCTCCGATTCGACGTAGACGTCGTGGGTTAATTTCTTTATCGGAGTCTCATCGAGTTGCTTGATACCACCCCATTTGGCCCTACCATCTGTTTTAGCCCCAAGTCCCCCTGTTATCGAACTTGACGTAGTACGAGGTATCCAGGCCCAATTCACAATGCATGGGGATGTACCCCTCCGGTTGGATGATGTCGTCGATCTGTGATTGCATTGTAATAACCGTCGCATATTGCCTCCATGGTCTGTTGAGGTACGATTTGTTCTTATCCTTAACCAGAAGGTAGTCCTTATCGCCGGTGAAGGTGCAAATTTGAAACACGTAGCCTCCCATCGAATCTTGCACCTTCTTCCCATGTGCAATGATGATGCAGATCTAGTTATCTAGTGGCTTCAGGATGAGCAATTGACAGTTTCGGAACACGAACCTAGTGTCGCCAAAGACAAAGTTTATGGTTTCGGCGATGACGCAATCACGGTAGAATTGTCGTCTCTCGTTGGCATAAAGTGTGTCTTGGAAACCCTTGAAATGACAGTTATAAAAGGCAGACATATCACCAGATGCCCTGAGGGCGACCACTTGGTACCCTCGGGTCCAATGGAGTTCTCGAATGTGTTTACGGCGTATGTATAACTTACAAACTGTTGCAGTGTTGAATGTTGTAGGTATCGGGGGTGTCTTTTCGACGCTAACGTTACCAGTGATGATAGTCTTGGTCGGACCATCTCTGATGAACATAACGTTTTCAACACCTTTGGGGATTTCTAGTATCTCATCGTAAACTCCTTCCTTAATGTTAATAACAAATCGTTTAGTATTCGGCTTCGGGACTTCAGCAAGAACCTTGGTGACACTATCAAATTTTCCAGTCCCGTCTTTAGCAACGAAGACATTAGGCACAATCTCTTAAGGTTTCACCTGAAAAAGCTTTTGGTCGCCAGAGCTCATCCAATCGGGGAAATCGCTCGATAATAGCTTCTGATGGAACATCGTCGATAAGTCAATGCCGTCAATTTTGGGTGCTTTTATGATGGACGATAATCCATTCAAAATGGAGAGTGCATTCTTGGTTAACTCCTGTGATTTGGCTATGAACTTCTTCATATTCTTCTCCGCGTTAACATCCATCTCCGAGTACGATTCTAAACAGGTCTGTTGGCTGGTGAGGGCACCGCTCAGCCACACCTGGAGGGTCAAAAGAACATCATTAATCTTAGTCAATTAGTCTTCCCAAGCTTCTTGAATGATCTTTCAAGGTCCTGAATAGCCCAATCGAACATCTCCTGGTAAACACAAAAAACCTCCTTTTTATTTTTATCCTTTTGCAACTCTTTCATCGTCTTCGAATTCTCCATCACTTTCCTAATCTCTGCCATCATGGCCTTGAACTATGTCCTTATCAGCACCTTCGGGTCGGTGGAGTTCGACGAATCCATGCTCTCATCTCATTCATCTTTAAAATTTATGGGCTGACAAATGGATTAAATATCCTTCTTAGAGTTCAACGCCTTATCTTCTTCTTTCTCTTTCTTCTTCGCAGAATCCATACCATTAGCGAACACGAAAACGAGGACCGAATCGACCACCGTAACCAAAAGAACGATGACAAAAAGAACGCTATTCACCATTATTAAACATCCTTTTTACCTACTTGAAACCCTAAAAAGAACGACAAATGAAAATAAAATCATTTTTTCTCCATTCTTTTCCCTTGAACCTAACAAGTGCTGAATAAGTAGAAGAAAGAAAAAATGAATGAAAGATTTGATTGCAAACAACCGTGAGGGGCTGCTTTCTTTGCTTAGAGCCCCTTAAGCTTTTGTTATTATGCTTGAATAATATGGCATTTCCAATCCCTATTTGTACATGAATGAAATCACTAGTTTTAGTTAAGGATTCCTTTTGTATGGGGTTAATGCCACTCTTTTTAGGTATCCACCCTTCTTCTTCTCCTCAAATCTCTCTAAGTTTCGAAATTCATGTGAAAATTTGTTCTTACCTAGAAATTTATAATTATTTTTGAAAATAAATATTCACATATTAGATTATTTGAAATTTGAAATTTTAAGGTAAACTATTGATCGCTTGTAAATGTATATGCTAAGGCAAGCAAATTTGTGCAAGCAAACACAGTCGAATCAAGTAATAAAGGGTAAGTGAGTTATCATCTCCTCAGGGAATGATAGGGCTTTTGATGTTTCACCACAACTATAACTAGGTGTCACGAGCTAGTTCCTAAATTCTCATCAAGATAGAAAAACAACTAGCAATAAATTATACCAACAAGTGTTAAAGCGTTACTAAAGCAAGAAAATATTATGAAGCATGGTTGTAGAAAAGTTTGGTCGAAGCAAAGTAAATATGAAAAAGAAACAATGTAAAAATAGACAAGACAAAGAAAAGCGTTGATTCAAATATATTCAAAACAACGTCACATATTTAGACTTTTCACAGAGCACTCAGGTTAGTCTTTTGCTATGCCAAGAAATTATTCTCAAGAAATTATTCTAACGAATTTGTTATGATATGCTTAGGTTGCTCGACAGAATTACCGAGTATTCTTATACGGTTGTTATGGCAATACTACTCGGCATTAACTACAACCCTTGGTTTTTCAGACTATTGTTGTAGCAATACCCTCAGCGTAAACTATAATCGTTGTCTATCCTACTCAAGCATTTATCCCTTTTAGTCGATTGAAAAACTCTCCTTATCTCTAAGGTAGACAGATTAGAACATCACTATCCCGAATCCATTCCATTGTTCACGTTGATATGTCTTAATTCTCTCGAATCTAAGAATCAATTTCTGGACAAACGACAATCTCTTGAAGCTCTTACAATGTCCAGATGTGTCTCACCTAGGCCCCAGGAAATCTCTCGAAAGCTCTTACAATTTCTAGGCAAAGTATTAAAATAATGAACAAAACAGACATAAGCAAAATCATAATGCGTCATTCATAAACCATAAAATAATTATCTCGGCAAAGCAAAAACTAACACCAAGTAAAGCAGTTTATGGTGTTGTCAAAGATTCATTCAAGAGTATCATTGTTTAATAAAAACCCCAAAACAAATTAAAGAAATTAAGAACAAATGAAGAACGATTCGCAAGCAGGGGGCTCTGCCGTGACATCTCTGAATGAATTGTACACTTCGAGAAAGTCACAAACATGTTGTCTGGCATTCTTATTAGGTGAGCCACTAAATTGATCGATGAAGTTTAGCATGTTAAACATCACCGGTTTAAGTTCAAAATGGGTTGCCTGTATTTCAGGTGCTGTGATGCCTGGATTAAGATCGTCAAGAATTGGATTCAAATGGTCTCGTATTGCTAGTGGTCTTGCAACTTCTCTAGGAAAATTATTTGCTGCTACGTCAGGATCTGCCTGATCTTCCATATTGTTGTTGCCTTGATATTTTTGTTGGTTCATATATTCTCTACCTTCAAGGGAAAATAAACAAAATTAATTAAACTAGTTAAGCTAACTAAGTAAAATGTGACAAGAAATAAAATTCTTTATGGAAAAAATTCTAAAAAACGTCGCCAGTTGTCAATCCCGGGCAACAGCGCCAAAATATTGATCGCTTGTAAATGCATATGCTAAGGCAAGCAAATCTGTGCAAGTATACACAATCGAATCAAGCAATAAAGGGTAAGTGACTTATCATCTCCTCAGGGATTGGTAGGATTTTGATGTTTCACCACAACTAGAACTAGGTGTCACGAGCTAGTTCCTGAATTCTTGTCAAGATAGAAAAACAGTTAGCAATAGATTATACTAACAAGTGTTAAAGTGTTACTAAAGCAAGAAAATACTATGAAGTATTTTTGTAGAAAAGTTTGGTCGAGGCAAAGTAAATATGCAAAAGGAACAATATAAAAATAGACAACCCAAAGAAAAACGTTGATTCAAATATATTCAAAACAACCTCATATATTCAGACTTTTCATAGATCACTCAGGTTAGTATTTTTCTATGACAAGAAATTATTCTAAGTCTAGAAGGATTTGTTATGATATGCTTAGGCTGCCCAACAGGATTACCGAGTATTCTTAGACGGATGTTATGGCAATACTACTCAACGTTAACTACAACCCTTAGTTTGTTAGACTGTTTATGTAGCAATACCCCTCAGCGTAAACTATAATCGTTGTCTATCATACTCAAGCATCTATCCCTTTTAGTCAATTGAACCCTCTCCTTATCTCTAAGGTAGTCAAGTTAGAACATCACCATCCTGGATCCATTCCATTGTTCACGTAGATATGTCTTAATTCTCTCAAATTTAAAAATCAATTTCCAGACAAATGGTAATCTCTCGAAGCTCTTAAAATGTCCAGACGTGTCTCACCTAGGCCCTAGGCAATATCTCGAAAGCTCTTATATTGTCAAAGCGAAATATTAAAACAATGAACAAAACAAACATAAGCAAAATCATAATGCTTCATTCATAAACCATAAAATAATTATCTCGGCAAAACAAAAACTAACACAAAGTAAAGCAATTCATTGTGTTTCCAAAAAGTCATCCAAGAGTATCATTGTTTAATACAAACCCCAAAACAAATTAAAGAAATTAAGAACAAAAGAAGAACGATTCCCAAGCAGGGGGCTCTGCCGTGACATCTCTAACCAACACCGCGACTGCTCTGGCGGCCAGCCTCTCTCGAGGCCTGACTTCCGCTCTGCTATAGTCTGGCTATGGAGGAAACCAAGGATGGTCGGGTTAGAGAATGATGGAAGGTAAAGCGAAGCAACTGTTCACTCCACGCCTCAGATAAATCTCTTATTTCTTCTTTCACCTCCCTTTTTTGACGACTGTGACTGGGTATTTATTAAGGGAATTTTCCTAGGGTTTCTTATAATTAAATATTCCCTAAATACCCGTGTTAACTTTTCCAAGCTATAAATGGAAAGGCAGCTGGAATTTGTCAGAATCTTGGAGCTTGATTGCACGTGAGGTCAGTCGTACAGCTGGCAGGTGACATAAGCAATTCTTCATATCTGTTTTAGACTTGCAAAATAAATCTTACCTTAGCAAGATAAATTTGTTCCTTACTGTCTTTGTCTTATGTGTTCCATTGGTCCTTGTAAAATATATTGTCACGACATAAATGTTCATCCTAAGTTAATTCCTGCACACATGTAATCCACAAAAGCCCTTTCACCAACAACATCTGTCAAACTAAATAAATCTTGCCTAGGTAAAACTTATCCACCACATGCAATTATAACCTAAATGCAACTAAATTCAACTAATATGCTTTGACCACATTGTTTATAAGAACAATAACTTAAGTAAAAAGACTAAAAATAGTCTTTTATGGAGTTATCAACTATATTTTATTATATTGAACTTTAGGGTAAAGTACACAAGTGATCTTCGATTATAAGGCATAGCTCTGTTGAGTCCACAACTATTAAAAGTTATAAAATGACATTTCGATTATATGGCAGTATTTAACAAAAAAAAAATTAGCGGAAAATGATGAGTTTGAAACATTTGAATAGTCATGTGACCATTTTGTAACTTTTAATAGTTGGAGACTCAATAAAGTAATACTCTATAGTTGAGGGAGTCAACAAAATAATACTCTACAGTTGTGGGACTCAACAAAACAATACCTATAATTAGAAGATCATTTACATAATTTACCTTAAATTTTAGTGAATATATAATTTTTGAATAATAAAAGTGGTCAAACCATTTTATTATGAAATTTGTTTTTGTTCGTAATAAATTTTCTGAAAGTCGACATACCACTAAAATTATTTTTAAAACAAAAGAGAAAGGTCTAAAGATCTTTGAGAGACTTAGAGAGTAAAACATGTCCCAAATATATTTTGGAATAATGCTAAAATTACCCCTTCAACGTTTATTAAAATGATCATTCAATCTTTTTTTATCGTTTTGGCTCACAAAGTTTCATTTTGGGCAAAGAAACCATTTCGTGGATGGAAATCATTAGTTAACAAACGATTAACGCTCGAAAATAGAGTATTTTTACCTTAAAATGAAATGTTATAGGCTAAAATGCTAAAAAAAAGCATAAGGTTAAATGAAAATTACTTAGTTATTTTCGTATTTGATCTATCAAGTTAAATTTTTTGAATCATTTCAAGAATGAATATAATCCAAGAACATATATAATATACAAACACATGGTATTTTTTTATTTTTTAAATGTTAAGTTAAACTTTTGTTATTGGGATTAGAGAGGGTTAACGATTGAGTGACTAAAATATATTAAATCAATAAAGTAAGCATCGTTGTTAAATTTTTAACGGTAGGTGACCAAAATGAAACTAAAAAGTAACGATAGGCATAATTTTGAAATAAAAAATAATTAGGTAATCAAAATGAAACAAAAG